CTGTCATGATTCATGCAGCTATTATTTCATCCAAATGAAAAATGGAGAACAGATAAGCAGATCATGGCTTGTCTACAGTGAAAAGAAGGACTGGCAGATAGTTATTAGTTACTCAATCAGTCAGTCAGTCAGTTAGTTAGTTAGTTAGTTAGTCAGTTAGTTAGTTAGTTAGTCAGTTAGTTAGTCGGTTAGTTAGTTACTCAGTCAGTCAGTCTATTTTATTCCAGTAATGCTCCTCTGATGTAAACAGAACAGTTAGAAAGCGGAAGTGTGGTGATCACGTGCTCACCACCTCCGCCCAGTCAGCTGAGCAGATCGCAGTCACGTGACCAGCAGAGCGGAAAGGCTGGTGAGCAGTTAGAGCTACAGCTGCTGTTGTTTTAGACTTTAACAGAGTAGATTCTGTGCTTTTAAGATCTATCGACCTCTTTGAAGCTCCATGGCGGCGGCAGGACGCCGGAACTCTTCCGGTAAAATGTTTATTTACTTTCATCTCTGCTCACGCGCCTCTTTGTTTCTGCCTGTTTGCTGTTCAGGAAAAAGATCAACCTGTTTTATCTTGATTTAGTTTCTGAAATGTTGGAGGAAAACTTTGTTTAATCTGCTGTAGATCCCAACAAACCTTCAGTTTGATCTCACTGTTTCTATCATCATCATCATCATCATCATCATCAGGCTGTAAAGGAGGAATAATCAATGGATCATTATTTATACATAAAACTTATTAGTTCATGAATTTAGCTTTAATCAGTAAAAACAACAGTGAATTCTGAAATCTGAATATGTTTGGACTTTTCCTTTAAACTGGAAAACAGGCAGAGTTGGATTATTAGAGCTGAAAAGCCGATAAATGCATCCAGGAAGCAGCTGCTGACGTTTTACACACAGAGTGACGTCAGCTTGGGTTTCCCCCATAAACTGACCATCAGTGGCTTTAATAACAGGCTCACCTGATGTAATAACAGCCACTGCTGCATTTACTGTCTGACTAACTGCAAACATGGCGACTTTCTGCAGGTTTTACTAATCCAGGCTGCTGGATAATCCAGACATGTGATTCTGTTCATGCAGAATAATTGCTCCCTTAAGCTGCTCTGTTGGTTTTTCCTTCAAGTGATTTTAATTGGCCTCATTTTCATTTCAGATGGAAAAGTCTGCTTGAAAACTAGAAGCAGAGTTTCCTCCTGCTGCTACCGCTTTTAACTCATTTAATTATTCTCGAAGAAGATTAATAATTAGTATAAATTAACCCTCTTCCAACACGGCCTTCCTACGTTGACCTTTGAGTTAAATCAGCAGCTGCTGGTAAATGTTATGCTGTTAAAATGTTATATTGGAGGTTAAATGGTTAAACATTGCTGAACAGTAAGTAAAGTGTCTCTAACCTTCAGTATCTCTAAGATCACACTGCTGTGACATGTTTGTGCTTCCTGGTATCTCTTTAAATTCCTGCTCTCTCCTTCGGGTTTGAACCTGAGTGAAAAACCTCCATCTGTCATAAGAACTCCTCTCCTTTGAGCAGCTTCCTCGGCCTTCTTTTGTTTCCTGTCTTCACTTTTCCTCTCAAGACCAGATTAGTTCAGACTTTATGAAATCGGACATTTTTGCAATCAGAAACTCTTTCTTCCTTTTTTCTTCCTTCAGTTTGAGGCATTTATTCGTTATTACAGCGTTTTGTTTGTTTGTCTTTGAAGGTGAAATGTTCTGGGCTCCGTGGGGCGATAATAGAAAGTGCTTCTAATAGTAACTTCTTCCTCCTCAGGAAGCAGGTTCTTCCTCAGAGTGAACTCTTACCGATGGTTATGGTGCGTTCACTGACCCCCTGATTGTAAACATCATTTAGTAAAGCTGGGATCCTTTTAGCTTAACCCTTTAAAGCCAAGTGGATCATGTGTGACGCATGAGTTTTTGAAACTTCATCATCATCATCTGCATCATCATCATCATCGGGATGTTTTTGTTTTGAAACATTGATTTAAATATTCAGACACATGCAGTGAACATAAAATGTATAAAAGATTATACCCACTAGCCTAATGTATCAAATCTGATGCAAATAAATGATGTAATTTAACTTATTCAACGTTTTTTTAGAAAGTTTAACGACATCCTGATTTATTTACAATAATTTCATGGTTCAGGATTTAAAGGGTTAAATGTTCGGGATAAATCTGGACGACCGGAGAGAAATAAACTCACTGCTAAAGTTTGGCTGAAACAAACTAAACTGTGTTTCTGAACCAGATTCATCCATAAAACAAAGAAATGCTGTTTAGGATAAAAACATGGCTGAAGGTTCATTCTGTGGCGTTTGGTTCTATGACGGTTCTACGATACTAAAGCTTTGGTTTATTATGTTTATTTAACTAATTAAATATGTGTTAATGGGTGATGGTCTAGACCAGTGGTCACCAGTTAAAAACCATCGGGGTCCCAATAAAGAAAATCATCAACCAGTAAAGATCTGGAGACATTTTTAATTATAATCTGTTACTTTAAACAGAATTTAACACGGATATGAAATCAGGTTTTTATGCCTCTATGTTATACATTGAATCTTTAAATAAGAAAATATATTAAAACATTATTTTTTAACATTTTAAAATCTGAAGTGTTGTTTTTAAGTAGAGATAAAAAATCGTTCAGTTTGGTTTATAGATAATTTCCTGATTCCCATATTTTCTCAAACCCCTGAACTGATGGTTTGTT